GAGACCTGTTTTTTGAGCTCCTCGAGCTCACCAGGGGACATCCTGTAGACTCGTCCCTTAGGAGGGACTGCTCCAGGTAGTAGCTCGATGCGATGATTGGTTGTCCGGTTGGGTAATCCAAAGGGCTCCTGCATCAGATCAGCGTACTAATCCACCACCTGCTATATCTCAGGAGGACAGGAAACAGGTGGAATGTCAGTCTGCTTGAGCAGAGCTATGAACAAACGCTCATGGTCATACTGGCGCGAGAGAGAATAAAACTCCCTCGCTCTCAAGCAGTAGCAAGAAGTCTTAGGGTGATGATCAGCAACAATCATGCATGGCTGATACACCCCCTGGCTGTTTGGTAGTTCAACCTTTGGGATCTGCCAGTCGATCCTTGGGTTGATTGCCTTCAACCACTGCATAGAGAACACCAGGTCAAAGGGTAGGTCAGGGAAGATGTACAAGTTCAGACTATCTGACTTCTCCAACGCTGTCGAAGGTAACGAGGATACCCCGGACCTTCTCCCTGATGGTGAGCACTGTGGAGTCGCCTATCCTGACCAGCAAAGGTTGTTGTAGTTGTTGAACTTTCATCCCCAGATGCAGTTTCTTAACAGCACTGGGAGATCTAAAGTTCCTGGTGGCAACACAATCCAACAGCCCTTTGATCCTGCTGTGGTTAATCAGGGGCCGAAGTAGGATGAGATCAGACTTGTGCTTCTTTTGTTCCTTCAGGTGGAAGAAGAAAGCAGCAAGTGACTGAAGCTCATCCTGCCCCGGGTCTTGATCCGGGTCAGGATCCTCATAGCAGAAGGATGCTGCCCGTGCAGTCCCCAAACTCACACAATCACATGCAGTCTCAACTGAAACAGCTGCAGATTCATCCACCTGTGCAGATGAAGGTCCAGCACTGGGGGGAGCTGCAGTCCCCAAGGTCTGTTTCAGTTTTTTTACTGTCCTGGGTCTGGCATGTAAGGGCAGTCCTTTAGAAAGTGTTGTCCCTTACACCTCAGGCAGACCCCTCGTTCCTTTCTTCTTCTCCTCACTCCCTCCTGGATCTTGAGGTCATGCCAGGGGAGAGTGGAGGGATTGAGTGGGTCAGYTGGCATATGGACGTCTTTGGGGAGGTTAGGGCGCTGGGTGGAGGAAGGCCGACGTCCCCTGTCCTTCCCCTTTGCACTGGCGGAGGCTGTGGTGGGAGAAAACTTTTTCTGCTGCTGCAGAACTCCCAAAACAACCTGGGTCAAGGCCGCTGCAACATCTGTTTCAGCAGCTGGTCCAGTCCCAGCTGATGCTGTATTAGCCTGGGAATATGAATCAGAAGCTGACGCAGATCCTGCATGTGTAAGGGCTGCCTTTGCCTTTCTACCACCACGAGGGAAGGCACCTTTCCTCCTGTCAGTGGAGGGGGCCAGAACATGAAGTTTGGCCTCCATGTCCAGGGCAGCGCGGCCAAAGGATCTCCAGTCCTTGTGCCCAGCGCTATACAATGCCACAACAAACTTCTCAGGCGCAGCCTTGCAGAAGTTGGTCAGCAGATCATTTGTAGACATGACCAACCCAAGGGTAGAGGTAAGCTGCTCGAACTCTGCAAACAAGGATTGCAGGGTACCGCTGTAGCGCTGCTGCCCCAAGCGAGCAATCTTGTTTGCAGCTTTGCGGGCCCGCTCCTTGTCTGCAAAGCGGTTGTTACATACTTCAATGAGTATGGGCAGAACCAAAGATCAACCAATATAGGACGAGCATTTATGCAGCGGAAGTCTGATAACGAACTGACTCACATAGACTGACCTACATGGCATCACTCCACACATATACAATCATGAGATGGTGGGGTCTGGGTCATGCATAGACGATACCCAGATCCCGTACACACATACACAGATGAAAGGTGGGAGGAGAGACGAAGGAGGTAGGAGGTATATCACACCGATAGGTCACGAGATAGAGTCCGGTAGGTCTCCAAAATGGTAGTCCAGAATGTCATATAACAAGATCAAAGTGTCGAGGACCAAAAGGCCACCAATGTCGCCGAGTCCAGATGTAACCGGTGTCTAGCTGTGATGCAGCCGAGTATCAACCTCAACAATCTCCAAGTCTCCAATCAGGTAAGTACCAAAGTCTCGTATCACCGAAATCCAACCCTGATCTCTATCCAACTGGATAGTCTCCAATCCGAAGAAGAAGAAGAAGAAGAAGAAGAAGAAGAAGAAGAATAAGAAGAGGAGAGAGAGAGAGAGAGAGAGAGAGAGAGAGAGGGGACTGGCGAGGGAGAGGAGGAGAGACCCTCCAAGCTCCCGGTACCTCATGCGGCAATGGCCGCCGTGCTGGCTCAGTCGCCCTGCCGCTGCTCCGCTCGCTGCTGCGCTATGCTGCGCTCCTGCTTCAGCCCCTGCGTTAAGTTTAGCGCATCAAAACAGTACGCTAGTACTGACCATGCCGTGCCGGTAGAGTTCCGGTAGGCCGATCCTCAACTGAGGCAGGATACCGGTACTTATACCGGTAGGCAATGGTCTGGCCTCAATGCTGCGAGGCCAGGCCAGACCCTGGACCGTCCAGATGGACGGTTCAACCTCCATCGGCGGTCGGCAGCTTCAAGAGCGCCGCCAGGCCCAAACAAAGTGTCGTTTGGGCCTACCCGATGGGCTTAGTCCGAAATCAGGCCTTTAGGGCCTGTAATCCCAAAGGTCGGGCCTTTAGGGCCTGTAATCCCAAAGGTCGGGCGTTTAGGCCCCGGTGTGTTCCTCCGGCCCTAAGTCGGGTCCTGTAGGACCCGTGTGAGTCGAAGATGTAACACACTCCCCCTCTTAAAAGTCCGAGCTACCTGCGAGGGCGAAGTTGTCTGTCCGATACCGGGGTGGGTCGGGCGGGACGAGCTGCGTCCTTAGCAAGGCGTCGCTTCTCATAGTCTGTGAAGATGAGGGGTGCAAAAGTCTGCAAATCTTCACTGGAGATCCA